ATCAATATTAAGATGTTAGAAATAAGATCTTCAGGAGAACTGGTTCTTTCTAGATCGTTTGTTCCTGTGTGTAATATGAGTAGTTGGGGAGCAGTGTGGATTTGACTTTGTAAGTACGATCTAGCGTGTTCAATCAGTGGAGTTCTAACATACTTCACTTCCTGGTCTGAAGAAAACATTTTTTCCATGTCTAAAAACTTTCCATTTGAATCACATAGAAAGATCACTTCATTAGAATTATTGGTGTCGTTGGTAGCAGGAGACTTAGGAGGGTGCTGGGAATTAGTGTCTACGGGTTTGTTTTGTGGTTCTTTTCTTGGCGGGTTTTCTGGTAGATCTTGAAGGGGAGAGAAAGAGTTTGATGTTGGAAGATTAACAAGAAGTATCTCATCTTCTGACCATTGGTTGTCGTTTGATGTAGGAATGGCAGCTTTATTCTTTGTGCTATCATTGAATTTGTTGTCCATTTCTTCACCAGAGGTCTGGCTCGACGTCTTAGTTGTTTCCGGCGGCAGTTGTATTGTTTCCCAGAGGGCTTTAATTTGGTCCTTAAGAAAGGTGATTTCCGCTTCAAGCTGGTTCTGTGTTCTTCTCATGGTTGCGTTATCCTCCGATATTTTCGCATTTTTCTTTTGAAGTGCTTGATTTTCATTCTGTAATTTGGAAATTAAGTCAGCGTGTTTTTGTAAATCGTGATTTAGAAGTTTAGTATTGTTTTCCAGATCATCAGCAAGGCCACCTAGGGTTGTTGTTTGTACTTTGAGATTGTGATCTAGTTGGGCAGCTTTGTCTTTTAGGTGCTCGAGGTTACCAGCGTTTGTTACTTTAAACTCAGTAAAATCGGCTTCTAAATTTCCGACGGTATTTCGAAGAGTAGTTAAGGTGTTTAGCCTACTCGGTGTAAGGGAGAGTTCAATGGGTGTTGACAATTGCGTTATTCTTGTATTTCCTTTGTCTGCACTGGGTGTTTCTGTTCCTGTTATGTCACTGACAACGTTTTCAGCATTTACCACGGTAGTGTCGTTTAGTTCCGAAGCCCTTGTGTCCGCAATCTCACATCCTTTGTACTTTGTGAAAAACTTTTGGAGTTCTATATGGAATGTACATTTGTCCTTTACGCTAACAGCGCTAAGGTTTCCTGACGACCCGAGACTGTTAACAATAGATAGCAGTGCAGGAAATTCCTGTTGACTCCACTCGGCGAATTTTTTGCCTTGAACCATGATTCTGCCAGTGGAAATAAAGATAGTTATGGTGACCATTTGATCTTCAATGTTATTTTCTTCCTCGTGAATGTGCATGATGATTTTATCGCTTTTGGTTGGGCAGCTATGTGACTCTTGTTCTTGCCATGTTACTCGATATCCCATCACGTTCAGGTGATCAAAGTATCGCACAGCGAAGGTTTTGATCCATAAAAGTAGCCGGTCTTCAGATGTTACAAAGGAGACAACCTTAGCAGCAGTTTTGTAGGCTGAAAAATCGATTGCTTCGAATAAAACTGATTTGGATTTAGTGGATGAGTGAAATTTGTCGACCAGATATCGGTGAAGATCATCACATGGTTTCATGTCCACCATTGAGGCTGGCTTGAATGTTACCTTTTTCTTTTGTCCAGGATTATCTCCAGGCTCGAAAGAGGGGTCATCTTTGTCTTCATCCATGTATATTTACGTTTTGATAAGCTTTTTACCAGTATAATTCAATCCTTCCATGTAAACGACCAAACTTCTCGCACCTTAAAAAACAGTGACCATTTTCAGTGGTCACGCAATAGTAGTAGTAGTAGTAGTAGTAGTAGTAGTAGTAGTAGTAGTAGTAGTAGTAGTAGTAGTAGTAGTAGTAGTAGTAGTAGTAGTAGTAGTAGTAGTAGTAGTAGTAGTAGTAGTAGTAGTAGTAGTAAGTAAGTAAGTAATAAATTGCTTTATTTGCATGACCGCATCATTTTACAGTATTGCAAAAGCATGTATATGACAATCAAAATATAAAACAAAACAGCACTAATAATAATCTAGAAAAATTCGGTTACATTACTAACAATGAATCACGTATTTTCATGCAGGAGGAAACAAACTTCATAACTAACTTATTTACATGATGTTCCTTCGAATTCATTATCAGTTTTATGCTTTCTGGAGATGATTTCTTGTCAAAGTCAGGTATTATTCGATTGATTTGATTAATAAATGCCTGTCTCTGTACTGAGTATTTGTTACATTGAAAGAGGAAATGAATCTCATCTTCTACCTGATTTGAGTTACATAAAGGACATAATGTATTTTCTCTTGGCAAATGATCGATTTGGTATCGACCATGTTCAATCATAAGTTTGTGATTACTTATTTTAAATTTAACAAAATTCTGTCGTTCGTCATAATGTCTTAGCTGGTAGAGATAATCAGATGTAGAATATTCATCTTTAAAATTTTTATAAAATTCTAGTTTTTTTGAATTTTCGAGGCTGTGCCGCCAAAAAGATAGATATTTCTCTCTCATTTCTGTGGTATATCGTCTAATTTTATCATTATCTAGAGATTCAGCATCTAAACTGGTTAGATTGTATTGTTCAAGCATGTTTATGAAATTGGAAAAATATCCGGAATTATTCATAGAATGTAGATTCTTTGACATAACGAAAGACTGTTTGACTATAGAGTCATTATCTTTGTTGTTGAGGTAAACAAAATATTTCATAATTTTCTGATTTATCGGGATAAGCAGCGGCAGTCTATCAAGTTCAGCTCTGCAGGCTATGTTAGAGGCCTTATTGTTAACCTCTAAGTAACGTTTACAGAATTTGAGGTGGATTTTTTCTATTGGGTAGCTTTCCCATTTTTTAAAATCTTGCTTGGTATACATTCCCCATACCTCGCTGTTGTAACTCAAGATTGGGAATACCATTGTGTCAAAAATTTGGGATGCAGTATTAGGATTAAGTTTGTTAAGAATTGTCCTCTTCCGAATACTAGAAAGTAGTAGTAGTAATAGTAGTAGTAGTAGTAGTAGTATATAGTAGTAGCAGTAGCAGTAGTAGTATTATCTCGCAGTATAAAACTTTGGAATGTTCATGTCCACATTATGAGTAGTATAGGGCGCATAACGTAACCTACACTACTTGAGAAGCCATACTTAGAAGTAAAAAAAGGTCGGTACGAAACCTAATACAATCCTAATATACATAATGATATGAATCTCTCTACTTAAAAAGCCAATCTAGAAGATTATTAAATTCTTATACTCTGTAAAAACTACGCAAAGACATCATGATATAATTATCTCTACTAGAAACCTATTTAGAAAATTATTCAATTTTTATACTCTCATTATCTCTTATATACCTAAACGAGTACGTTATTATTATTAACAACTTAAAATACTTTCATGAAATAATAATACTCGGACTCATCCCATAGGTCAAACTTCAAACTTCACTAGTGCTAAGCCCAAAGAAAATAAGCGACGACGATACATTTTGCTCATTGTAATTTAGTTGTTCACTTACCGAGAGGTATTCTAAATCATTCACATAACGTACATGTCACAGGAATTGAGAATAATTACCTCGACTAGTTTTAAAACCGAACAACTTTTGATGGTTAATATACTTGTTTTGATATTCTCATTAATGGCGCCGGACTATGTCCCCTTCCTCCTCTAAACAATCTCCATTTTTTTTTCTATTCCGTCCATACAAGTAATTAGCTTTATTTTGTTGTTTGTTTTTTGTTGTTGTTGTTGTTTTTTTTTTGTGTTTCTTTTTTTTATTCAGCGCAACCATGTCCAACCTGACATTAGGAAGCCGAATAGTATCCAGTACAGTGTATCCTAAACCTAACGGCACCCTCAAAGAAAACGTCACTGTTGTATTTAGCTGTAGCATTGTAAGTTTTTCTGTTATTAATAACCTTGATTTTAACTCTTTTCAGAGCACGCGATCAACCCCTACCCCCACAAAAAAGTTGAATATCTTCAGAACCGTTTATGCTATTACTCCAAACTTAGCGACCTTTCCTCAAATTTATCTGTCGTGAGAACATTTTAAAATCATCGTGGTGTGCGCATGTGCGCCACCATTAAAGTTACCATGGCAACGGAACTTAGACAGCTATCTTTTTCAAAATTTGCATTTGTTTTTTTTTCGTTTGTTTTCATTTGTTTTTTTTTTTTTTTTTCATTTAGCATTATTTAATTAAGTTTATACAACTGTTAACGAATCCGGGTTTTAATGACCAATTTAAGAAAAAAAGCATGAAGTTCAACTGACCAAGTAGGAGATGGGGAGTTCGATTATCAACAGTGTTCATTTCTCTCGGAATCTAATAACTTTCAAATTGTTTTTGTTTTTTTTTTTCTTGCTAGCATCCTTTTACACAAAGCCGCATCAATTTTCCATAATGATCATCTTGATTTATACGGGTTTTAAGTCAAAGGGGATACATTTGATTAATGCAAAGTTATGCCTAGATGTTGGATATGATAAGTACATTATTCCGTCAAATTTTGGTGGCTTTATTATGAGCGGTTTTGAAGTTATAGTGATAACTGAACTGTCTGAATAGGGTTATGCTTCGTCAAAACTAGGAAAACAGATTAAAATACTAATTTAAACAAGTATAACATCTTCTAGCTGTAGTTATATTTAAATTATACACTATCAAGATTTGTATTACAAATTTTGATTCTTCCTTCTATAAGTTCGGAACAAAAGCAAGGTGTCCCGAACTTATTTATAAGCGTGCTGGTTATGCTTTTGAATAGTACATTAATACAGGCGAATTGAGGAATGGCGAACTACGGGCAGAGCACGATGACCGCATCTCTTACATTACAGTTATTTTATGTCCTATATGGCTGTCAATTGTGCCAAGTTTGAGAAAAATCTGGATAGTACATTTTATTCAAGGGAATTACCTCAAGATATAAAACTAGTTGTTGATATTGTAAATTTTTAATTGTAATTCAGTTTTAAGTCTTTGTTTTAATTGTTTACTGTAATTTTCCAGGACGCAGAAGAAGAGGTCACTCCACACTGTGTCTTCTGGGATTTTATGTTGAAGTACGTTTAAAAACAAACCTTGTTTTTTGTCGTTGACCCCATCTCTTTATCGCATAAAACCACCCTCACAGTACAACCATACAGCCTCAGACCACTAAGATATTCTAATAGTGCACCTATGTTCTTAACCCTTTTGTTGCTGCACCCGAAGAAGAGAAACTTTCTGATTATTACTATATGTATTCTAAATAGTCTTTCTCTATTTTATCTCAATTATTGTAGATCCGACGTAAATGGGAGTTGGTCTAAGAGAGGATGCTCGTTGGTCAAAAAAATCGACAATGAAATAACGTGTTCTTGTAATCACCTTACAAACTTTGCTGTTCTTATGCAAATTGGAAGCAATGAGGTTAGGGATAGAATAGGCCAGCAGATGACTTTGGCTTTTCATTTGTCTTTGAACCTGAATGACAGGACGCAAGCAAGTTCGTAAACTGACCTACGAGGCCAGTAACTCTGTAAATGATTTGATGCCTTCGACTCGATCGCGGACTGAAGTAACTTGTAGTAGGCGTGCAGTTATAAAATCTAACAGTGATTAATTGTTCGACGTCATTGCAAGAGTGATGCGTTTGTCGAAAACGATTTTTAGTAATACCTGAGAAAATATTGACGGCTCCAGTGAGACGTTTTTCCTGCCAGGGAAAAAAAATAAAATCACATGAGACTAATTCCGATTTATTAAAATCCCTACTTGGCTCCGACGCTTAGGGGAATAAATCAAAACAAATCATCTTTAGGCTCAGCAATGAATAATACATTCATTTTATGTTCATTCCTTTAAGCGACGTGGGCAAGTATGAATTTCAATACATTGAAATTGATCTATCGGGCAGATGAACTTAATTTATTTAACAGTAAGTAAGTTCGTATGTACGTATATATAATATTATTATATTATTATCATTGAATTATGATTAAAACTAGATTAGAATTGACTAACATGTAGTTTCATTTATTAAAGAAATAAGAAAATTTAGAAAATTTACTGGAGCAAATCAAGTATTACTTTTTGGCCACAATAACATGCACATGATGTATTTCATTTTCAAAGGTTCCTTCAGGCCATAAAGACGCGTTGGAAGTAATCACTTACGTTGGCTGTGCCTTGTCGCTAGTAGGAGAAGCACTTGCAATTGTTGCGTACTGGATTCTCATGTGAGTTTTCTTTTTCTATGCCTATGCATAATATGACAGGCTGTAATCTTTTGGAAATGAGTCATTTCAAAATGGCCATGCTATTTTTACCTTGCCTTGTTATTTTGTCAGGAATTTAAAAGAGGAGCAGATTCAAATTCGCTTCAACCTCGTCGTTGCCATAGCAATCGCCCAAATCACCTTCCTTGCTGGAATTGAAGCATCAGCTTTAGAGGTACCTGTTCAGCCTTGGTCGGTCTTTCATGTTGGCTATAGGAGAGTTTTGAGTCCAACTTTCTGCTACAGTAATAAATTCCACTTCCACTACATAAATACAGTATCACAAAGATATTCTAGTTGGGGCAGAAGTTAGAATCCTGTTACTATTATAACCAATTTGAATATTTGCCAAATTTAAGCCCAGTGGTGAGGAAAAAAACAAAGAAATTGCGACGTCGCACTCTTCCATGAAATTTGCCATAATTTGAGCCATGACAGTGTTTAAAATTCTTTCAAAAGGAAATCGTTATGCCTTTTTTTTCTGTTGAATTTCCACAGGGACTGTGTATCTTTGTGGCGGGTCTGATTCATTACTTCTACCTTGTGGCATTCGCCTGGATGTTGTTTGAGGGTGTTTACCTGTATCTGATGGTGGTAAAAGTATTTAATACAGAGATCAAAATGCGCCTTTTCTATTCAGTGGCCTGGGGTAAGTACCGAACTGATCTGAACTGAATGAAGTATTGTTATGGAAGCATTGAAAATAGAAACAATAGGCAGGTGATGACTTACGTCACTCGAGTGTCAGCTATTGAAGACAGAATGTTGTGGAATTTAGCATGCCTTCTCTTTTTGTTTGTTCTTAGACTGAATTAAAAATCGTTTCCTTTTAAAACGTGAGACATGATGTGAAATAATTTTGGTTCAATAAACGCTTAACTTCTTAATATATATCTAGCCGGATTTTTGAAAACGTTATCGCCAAATAGACCTCTTCCGTCCAACAGTTTTTTTTTTCGGCCAAAAAAAGTATCCATTATAAAAACTAAGAGTGCAACCATTGTTTTTTCTCTTCTCGTCCTTTCTCCCTCCTCGCTCTTACTTTTTGTCCCTTCCTTTTCCTTCGTTGGTGTGATTTTGGAGCTTATCGGCCTTAAAAAACCTGCGTTTTGACAGCTTTTCACTCAAATGACAGCAGATTTCGTTAGGTTGGTTTTAAAAAAATCGGCTAGATATATATATATAATATATATATATATATTTCAAACAAAATGCGGTAGTTTTCTTATCCGATTTTGCCATACGTGCAAGTTGTAATATGCTGCCAGAAAGACTGATATCTCATGACCTGAGCGCGCAAAACAACCGACATTTCGCGACGCCATCCGACTGGTTTCCAGGCGAAATGACATCTAAGCAACGAGCGCAGAAACTCCATACTGCTGACACGTCACTACCAAGATCTGGATAGTGCTTCTGATTGGTTGAAAATTTACTTTATCCAATCAGACGCACTACCCAGATCTTGGTAGTGACATGTCATCAGTATGGAATTTCTGCGCTCTTTGCTCAGGCGTCATTTCGCGTGGAAACCAGTCGGATGGCGTCGCGAAATGTCGGCTGTTCTCTGAGGCTTGTTATCTCATCATACCGAAAGGAAAGGGAAATTTTGTCAAGTTCCCCGCCCAAAAACAATTTGGGATACGTGATAGGGTACAGTTAGAAAACTATGAGTATTTATGGAAATTTTCTAGGTACACCTTTTTCTTTTGCTATTATATAGAAATTGTCACGACATTAAAACCTTTCTTCAGAATAAACTGGAGGCAATTTTTCAGCCGGTCTTAGAGTGCATAATACTTCGTCATTTTTGTCGTATTTCAGGCCTTCCTCTTTTGATTGTGTTGCTATCGATGCTGATTGCCTCTACTCAAGATGGTGGAATACATGGATATGTTCATGGCGACTTGTAAGTAAACAAGGCGCTTTCTTTGACAAACATAATTTAGATACGTTTGGCCACAGTAAACAAGCACTTTTAGCAATTATTGGATTCGGCTTCCGTACGGCCTAAAGAATCATGCAGATCGCGATCGAGAAGGTATTTATCTCACGCGGCTAAAGGTCAAGGCGGATAACACCCTTCAAGATCTCCATAAGTTTTTAGATCATAAGAAAGCCGAATCCGTTTTTTTTAATTAATTATTCATTCAAAATAATTCTCAATTTCAACATGCTAATACCTCGATCGAGGTTAAGTTCCAGTCATCATTTGTCTCTTCCTTGGAAAATTCAGGATATATGACAATTATTCACCGAAGTGGAGTTGGCTAGTAGTGCAAATTTACCGGGGCCGTGAAGCGGCGAGGTAAATAGCCACTACTAGCCACCAACACTGAGGTGAATAATTGCTTTAGTACATACTAAAACAGTGAGATAATTGAGCACAAAAAGGATGATTTTTAACTCATTTACTGTTGCCAACGATTACAATTTTGGCGCGCGATGACCGAACGGCCGCGGTCGTCGCTTTTTCTTGGCGACAAATAAAACTTTTGAAGGCGTTTGTTTAGCTCTTGCGGGGAAGTTTCTTCAAAAGGAGTTGTGAATTCTTTTTGTATTTAAAATCATTCTGTAAAAAAGATTATTAAATTTAGTTTTAAGCTTATTTATGAACAAGTCAACTAAATAAAGTAACGCAAGACTTAAGCTTAATTTGTATTTGTAAACAAAAAACTTTTTCACCGGTTTTATCGATAAATTCAAGTCAAAACGGACAAAGCTTTATCTGTTAAAACTTCCAAACCGAACTACGTCAACTTCTTCATGTATTTTGAGAATAGCTTGCTTCATTAGTTGTGAAATTTCTTAGTCTGTTACGGCAGCAAACCGGAAAGGCATTTTGCTCGCAACTTACGTGAGTTTGGCGTCGCTCGCTCGGAGGAACTGGAGGTGAATCAGTGAACAGTGCAGGATATTCACTGATTGAGTAGCCAATCAGAGCGCGCGAAAAACACTATCCACTGTTTTAGTATATACTAAAAAGGGATGTTTAGTCTTCCTGATAGTCCTCAAATCTCAACTGTCATCCGTTGAGTTGTTAATTTGCTGTTCCTCCTTTGATCATTAAGTTCAGCTACTTCTTCGCAAAACATGTGAGCTGACGCAACATCATCCCCAGGGCTTCTCGATTGCTGTCCTTTTCTTTTGTAAAAGCCTTTTCTATTGATGTCATTTTACCGAATATTAGAAACATCTTCCAAATTTTGTTGGTGAACAGTAGCTGGTTATGAGGAATTAGCCGGTGGATTTGAGCCAATCAGAAACGGATGATTAGTTTGAATGTATAATAATAACAAGATTTCTCATGCCCAGCATTTATAACGCTGTTCCAGGATATGGATACTAAAGGCAAGAACATGGAATCGGCAACACGTCATAGCGAAGACTTCATATAATGTATAATTTTGGCCTAGCTTCTTTTGATATATAGCAATATAAATACTTTTATTGATATTTTAACAGCTCTTACGCAGTTTTTGACAACGACTTATTTATTGGAATTAAATTCTACTGGTTTAAAAAAAAACCAACAAAATGTGTTTTCCTATCTTCTCTAATATAGCTGCTGGGTTTCCTTCACCAATAACCTCATATGGACCTTTGTTACTCCAGTTCTCGTTGTTTGTTCGGTGAGTTACCAGAAACATAAAATACTATCTCACCCAACTGCATTATGAAGTAATTATGTTACTTCGTCATTTTGAAGAACTTAGCTCGTGATCAAATTGTCAAATCAAAGAAACTCCGAAAGTTTTCAGTGATAGATTAATCTGTCATTTCATTGTTTAATTGAAGTCTCTTCCTTTCGTTTCTCATCAAACAGATAAATACAGTTCTCCTTGGAAGAGTGGTTAACGAAATCGTTAAGATGCAGAGCGGGAAAACCTCGGAACTAGAAAAAGTTCGACAAGGTGTTAAGGCATGCGCAGTTTTGTTTCCTCTTCTGGGACTGACCTGGGTGTTTGGTATTCTAAGCGTCACAGACGCTGGACTCGTGTTTCAGTACATCTTTACCATTCTCAACTCATTACAGGTGTTGCAATTTTTCTATTCACGTTATTATACAACGTCTCACTTCCAGGAAAGTGAAAAAATTACGTAATGATATCCCGATCTTGTCAATTGGACCAGAGTGGCAGACACTTGTTGATATATTATCGCAGACCTGACTTCTTTGTCATCAAAGATGGGCGAGGGAGGGAATTCTGCCTGCCTACCCGACACGTAGTTGCTAGCTTATTGCAGACAGGCGTAGATAAAACTTGTAGGTGCGGTTATAACTAAGAGAAAACGTTAATCACATGACGCAACGCCGTTTGTGTAACGTGGGATATACGTCAAGGCAAAAACTGCTTAGATCTGCCATCTTGAATAACTGGACCAAAATTGCTTTAATGCGATATGAAAATATCTAATATTATTAAAAACTGAATCATTGGATAATGCAATTCTAGCATTTTGTTTGGCTTAGCCGTTATGGTATATGAGTTATTATACCATGCTCTCCATATATGGTCGGTGTACGCGTCAGTTTAAAATTGGAAGCTAACTGAGATTTTTTTTCGCGAAGGATAGAACGGCGCCCGAAGCAAATTGTTTTAATTCATTTCTTAGAATACTAGAAATGCAATTTCATCGAGAGAAAAAAGACAAAAACAAACAAAAAAGCCACAAGAGCTTGTTTGAAAGTTTGTCGAAAAACACATGAAAACACATGGAACTAAAGTACCTTGACCAGCTACAAAAGAAGACAAGTGCTGTTTCTTAATGATCGCGAAGCCATTTGCCGATCGAGTCACTCGCCGATAGATAACTGCGGCTTGTTTATCCGACACCAAGAATATAAATCACAAGTAACCAGATACAAATACAGGCTATGCAGACATTCACTAGAGCAATCGAGGCGGCAGTATAGCTTCTTTTCTCGTTCAGCAAAACCAGCTTGTGGCTTCAAACAACTTCATAACAAGCGACCGAGGTAATAGTTTTTCTCCGTTGTTCTTACTTTTATAACTGCACCGAAAATCCAAATTCACAGTAATTTCGACGGCTGTCACTTAGAAATTCTTCTCCTTCACATTATCTGCCAGGTTTTTCAGCTGTTCTGCTGTGTAAAATCCTAGAATCCTGATGAGTTTTTAAAAAACTAATGTTCATCGCTACAATGTTTTGATTTTTCATTCATGCAGTCCAGGCGAGTCCGTTCGCGCGTTAACAGTTTTGATAGACATGTGACATGTGAATAGCGGAAGTCCCTTGTCTTTTCCGGTTTGTTCTAGTCGGGGAGATTCAACGAGATTTTGTGGGCGTTTTTAATAAAACAATTATTCCACTCGCGCTTGTTGGATATGAGATGATTATAGCCAACTCGGCGCTACGCGCCTCGTTGGCTACCTATCATCTCATATCCAACGCGCCCTCGTGGAATAATTGTTAGATATAAAACATTACTAGAAAAGAGTGCGTCGGAAATTTTGGCCATCAAAATGTCTCAAGTCGCGTCATAATTTATGATTTCTGTTGCACAGTAATGTTTCCAAGTGCCCTTTACATTTACTTATAATCCATCTGAGTTCTAAGTTGGTTTCTGCTGATTGCTTATTTTCCAGGGCTTGTTCATCTTCATACTTCACGTTCTGAGGAATGCTGACGTGCGAGCGGCATACTTCCGAAAAAAAAAGAATTGGAAAGCAGCGAGAAGCATTGGAACATCACACTCAGCCAATCACGATTCAATCGCATTGGGGTCGAGTGACACGAGAAGTGAAGGACAAGATTCGAGAAGCAAATGCTACAGTACATCGCCAAGATCAGTTATTGGTTATGACAAACCAGTTGCTTTTGACCAAGACAGATGTATGACCCCTGTAAACACTTGAATGTCACTTATAAGGCGTTCCTACCCGCTGGACTCAGAGTGAAACAATGACATCATTAAATTAAGGTATTATTCTGTGACACCAGAATTTTCAAAGAGGCTGAAAATATTTGTAATCTTTTATGCATGCTTACTACTGTTATTAGAAATGCACCCAAGGGTGAAGAATTAGAATATCGTTGGTTAATATGCTAATTGAAGACTTCGTTATAAAGAGGCTTGGTTACCGAGGTTCTATTACTACGACTCGGGTTAGGAGTAGGAGCCTATTATTTTAGAGGACAATTATTTCAAGATACATACACTGTATCGCCATTCTAACTTCCTAATTACTATCATTGTTCACATACCGTAGTAGTTAAATTTACTTTAATGTAAATTACAGCCATTCCTAATCCCTTTAGACTCCCTGATAAAATATTGTAGTTAAGAAAATAAATTAAGGAGGTTAACTTTATTCATTGTCTTATATCTTTTAGTATTATTAAATTCCTGTCATTCCTCTACCATGAATAAACCTGCGAAGTTCGACAGACCTACGTCTTAAACGAGCAAAGATATAACTCCGAAATAAAGTTGCGAAAATGTACAGACGTTGGTGTTCGTACCCCCATTATATATACAAAGGTCTGTCAGATTTTCGCGACTTAGAGGAGCTATATCTTTGTTAGTTTTCAATAAATTCACTTTCGAACCTGACAATTTTACTAATTTACTTGTAAAGGCGCTCTTTTCAGCAAAGTCGACGGATTTTCGCTAACTTGTCTATACACAGGCGGCCCAGACGTAGTATGTGTCACTGAATGAATATATTAATATTCACATGGACAAATTAATGCGATGAGTCGTCGAAACTCCCATGGACTAAAATAGTCTAAAAGTCAAAATATAACAAAACAAAGCTAAGATTCCTTCAACTGAACGTATCGTTGTCTTTCCTGGCCGGTTTAAGTGGCATTTTGTTGAGTTTTGCAATTGTAGGTACTATCCACTAAAGAAGAATTAAAGGCTGGCTACAAAACAAACAGACCATCTCCACGCGCCTTCACACGAAGCGCTATAAATTCGAGAATAATCGACGAATCCGCTCCAAATAACCATCGGCTAATCTGCAGGTAGCGTGTGCTCCTGCTTCTGGCTCGCTTGCTCCACAAAACCCATCGCAAGTGCACAATAATTGCTCACTCATCAACAACCACTGTTGACCTTTACGCTTCGATATGACCGCAAACGACCAGGTTTACTACGCGACGTGAATATTCAAGCTTAGCGACCGCGTTCGCCCAACAATGCAGCACTTGCTATGGGAGGGATGGTACTATTGCTTCTAGGTCAATCGACTGACCGAAGGTTCGCTGCGTTAGTTTTGACCAGAAAACAAAAGACGATCGCGGGACCGTCCGTAAGTTTTCAACAGGGCAGCCCTGGTTTTCAAGTTCGAATTCTTCTAACGTTCGCTGTCTCAGCTGCTGTCACATTGTTCGTCCAGCCGCTTGCATAGGTTCGTGACTCTACTAGACTTATTTGCTTAGATTAACAACGTCTTACTCCATAATATGTTGTCCAAACTGGTGAAGGAGGACTAGAATTTTCCGCCCAGGAAAAAGGCAAAATCTGGCCCCCGCTATGCAGCTGAATAGAAGATACAGCTGAAGATATCGTAAAGTAAAATTTATGTGCGCGATATCTTTTTTTATTATTATCATTATTCTCAAAACTCAGGGGCACCCAACGATGATTTCCCCTTAAATGCATTGAAAACACATTTAAGGCTCTAAACAGCACTTACATAAATTAAGTCAGGAGGGCTAAAAGCGAAGCTAATGATTTATAGTTTGCTCATACTAAATATAAAATATATTGTGTAATGCTGAGCGGAGAAGGCAACGAGACAGGGGCACCCAACGACTGTTTCCTCAAATACTTTCAACTGAAAACACTTTTGTAGCTATTCATAAAGTACTTTTAGCTCTATAGAAATGCATTCTAAGTGGCGCTATAAAATTTGCATCTCAGTGTTCGGCCACTCTAGAGGAACTTGAGTCTTTTCGAAATTACCAGGAATTCAGAATTATTTTCCCGAAAATTTTAGATGCAATTTAACGTATTACGAAGGAGATAATTTTTCAGATACCTTCTTTCATCACATTTTTGAATCCGAAAATTTTAGGATTCCATTTTACTCTCTACGAAAAATAGCCTAACCCGGACAGTGAAATGTGAAAAACTAAAAGCTGGATGCCCTTGACCAGAACTGCGAAAAACAACAATAGGTCTAATTGCAGCACACTTTCTTGTACATTTCCTTGCCGTTGATTTGCATGACTGCAACGTGAACGTCCAGAAAACTTCCTGGTTTTCACTTTTTATGGAGAAAATGTGTTACATGTTCTTGTTCACTTTTTCCACTGCCGCTTATTTTTTTTAGCTCCGCTATATGAAGATTCGTATCTGTTCGGTGCTCCTAGGGCAAATTGGATCTTTTTAAAAATTACAAGGGCTTCAATATTATTTTCCCGATTGATTGACCTAGAAGCAATAGTACCATCCCTCCCATAGCAAGTGCTGCATTGTTGCGCGAACGCGGTCGCTAAGCTTGAATATCCACGTCGCGTATTAAGCCTGGTCGTTTGCGGTCATATCGAAGCGTAAAGGTCAACAGTGGTTGTTGATGAGCGAGAAATTATTGTGCACTTGCGATGGGTTTTGTGGAGCAAGCGAACCAGAAGCAGGAGCACACGCTACCTGCAGATTAGCCGATGGTTATTTGGAGCGGATTCGTCGATTATTCTCGAATTTATAGCGCTTCGTGTGAAGGCGCGTGGAGATGGTCTGTTTGTTTCGTAGCCAGCCTTTAATTCTTCTTTAGTGGATAGTACCTACAATTACAAAACTCAACAAAATGCCACTCAAACCGGCCAGGAAAGATAAGGATACGTTCAGTTGAAGGTATCTTAGCTTTGTTTTGTTATATTTTGACTTTTAGACTATTTTAGTCCATGGGAGTTTCGACGACTCATCGCATTAATTTGTCCATGTGAATATTAATATATTCATTCAGTGACACATACTACGTCTGGGCGGCCTGTGGTCTATATAAAAAAAAAAATTGAAAAAACCGTGCAAAGGCCTATTGATCTAAAGTGATGAACAAGGAATCGCATGCTAGTGGAGCGAAAGGAATTTCAGACTGTTTTTATCCAATAGTGCAACACACTGCAATCAGCTTTTTGGCGATAGTATCGTAGCATTCTAATGACAGCTAGATCAACAATCTCGTGAAGGGGCTTGTAAAAGCCCTCGTACCGATCCCCAATCTACAGCATCCCAACTACCACCACCACTACCCGTCTGCTACGCACTTGAATCCAGCAGAACCCGCCCTTTTAAAAGAACCGCTGCGCGGGTTCTGACAGGTTTCTCTTCTGAGTGTCTCTTAGCACTTTTGCAGCTGTTTGTATATTTTCTGCGACACTTCAAAACACAGATACGTGACATTCTGGTTGAAAACATGTTTTCTCCGTCAGAAAGACTAGATTCACAAAGTAGAGTTACGAAACAAATGAAATTGTGGCGCCAGCGATTTTAAGATGCTTTGAAAAAGATCCCATTTTTCATTCGAATTATTAAAATTCAAGTTTATAGCGTTACCTAAAGGACACAAAAAAAAATTGTTTTCTTTTCTTTTTTTCCTACTACATTTTTATCTTCTTTTTATGTCAGTTTTAGTTCTTGCTATTATAACATGAATTGTAAATTTATTGAAACGAGATTTTTCAGTGTGTAAGGCAATATTTCTTTTCTCGATTTTTTTTAACAACACCTGCTTATATCTTGGATACGACACTAATCTAAAAGCTCTTTAATAGACCTATTCGGCTAACTCAATGTTGTACCCAATTCAAACCCTTTGGGAATAAAACGTTTTGTTTCAGGAATTTCCATATCATTTAAATGTGAATGCCACATTATAATGCAAATGCAATACACAAAGAATCTTATCCCCGGGAGATTTGAATTGGGTACAACACTGAGTTAGCCGAATAGGTCTATCACACGACCTTCAGTTTGAAACCTAAGTGAACGATGAGTATGTGCAGAAAGAACCCCTGACTGACAACGCAACTGAGTGGTGACAGAAATAGAAAGAATGGCCAAAAGTCTAAGATGTGTTATTGTTTACGTGACTGTTTGGAATTATAATCTACTTTATCACTTTTTTTCAGTGAAAGAACTATAATTCTTGTTTACACAAGCGACAATTTTCTGGATCGATTACATTTATTTTATATTGGCACACCGAAGGCAATGAATTAACTAATAGACCATGCTGGAGCTAATGTATTACTAAGAAAGGATTATCCTCGCTTGATATTACAAATTTCATTGAATATGTTAATTTTGTCTCGAAAAAAAAATTAGTTTAGCCTTTATTCAGATCTTCTGAGTTACCGAAACCTTAATCGATAGTTTGCTCATCAATTTTTAAACCTCTTCTTCGTATATTCGAAAAAAAAATTGCAGCCTTTAAACTCAATCTGAGGAAGGTGGGCAACTTTTTCTTTTTCCGATTCTTGCTTCTTTTGACTTAAATTCATAATGATCGCTTTTTAAGCCACAAGCGTCACTGAGGCGTCGTAGTCAGTATGCAGCTCTATTAAATTCTATCACATTAAGCATAAATTTTTTGGAGTTTATATTTTATTCAGTTTGTCGTCTTTTGCTTAAAATAGTAACAGCAATGCTTGACGCTGAGGAAAGCACTAGAACGCAATTAAATTGACTTGCGAATGTGCACTGGTGTTCGGCCATATGAATTGAAAAAGTCTCCTTGTTCAGATTGCAGTATCAGTTAAGTAACAACTAGTAATTAGTTCCCAGGTTAATTGAAGTTTTTAGTTTTTGTCTCCTTTCGTTTGTTAAATCCCTCGGCAAGGCCTCTGGTTGAGGAAGACTTCTGTTAATGCATCAGTCAATTCCAACCCCGAGCTTTTGACACGC